TGTTAGCCAGGATGGTCTCGATCTCCTGACCTCGTGATCCACCCGCCTCGGCCTCCCAAAGTGCTGGGATTACAGGCTTGAGCCACCGCGCGCGGCCTTAGGCCGTGGTTTTTATTGGTAGCAACACTCATTAAGAAATTTTACTGGCTGGGCATGGTGGCTCATGCCTGTAATCCCAGCACTTTGTGAGGCCGAGGCAGGCAGATCATCTGAGGTCGGGAGTTTGAGACCAGCCTGACCAACATGGAGAAACCCTGTCTCTACTAAAAATACAAAATTAGCCAGGCATGGTGGCACATGCGTGTAATCCCAGCTACTCAGGAGGCTGAGGCAGGAGAATCGCTTGAACCCGAGGCGGAGGTTGCGGTGAGCCGAGATCACGCCATTGCACTGCAGCCTAGCAACAGAAGGAGACTCTGTCTCCAAAAAAAAAAAAAGAAAGAAAAAAAAAAAGAAAAGAAAAAGGAAATTTTACTTAAGCCATACCTTCATGAGAGGTTCTAAATAAGCACACAGACAGTCTATTTCAGACCTCATTTCCTACAAATACTGTATATAGAGGCAATTTTGTGTTTCTTTTGTCATTAAGATAAGACATTTGATTTGCCTCCTTATCTTCCATTTAAATTTAGTTCACAAGATGGACCTGTTTTCAGGTACCATAAACACCCAGTTCTACTGGGTTTTCTTTGACCGCTGGGGAAACTGTGGACTGTATCTGATGCACACATTTTTTTGCATCTCCCCTGGCATGAGATTCATATACATTGGCATCTTCTCAGAGTGAAGCTGACTCTCTCTGTTTCCCTCTTCCAGAATTTCACTTGGCATATGGTGATTCCAAAACAGTTTGAGGCTCATTTTGATTGGTTTTTGGCAATCTCAGCTCAGCCAGTTTTACTCTGAGAGATCCCCTGTGTGTTCCTTCATGAATGGCCACAGAAGCTTTTGCTCTTGGCTCTGCGTTCTAATAGCATCTCCTGCATGGTCTGTGGCAAAGCAATGCTTTGAAATATGCGTCCATACTATGTGGCTTTTCTTGCTGCAGTTTCTGTTCTTTTTTATTGTAGGATCGGGAGACTCACCACTAGAAGACGATGAAGTCGGGTATTCACACCCTAGATATAAAGGTGAATGCTTTGCTTGTGTGCTAATGAGGACCTGCTGATGCCAGGAGAACTTTCCTTTTTGCCCTGCAGAACAGATTGTAATAAAGTGACCAGACAACACATTTAAGTTCTAATTATCTATCAAGGAAAAAGTATTTAAAAAAAAAATATATATATATACTCCCTTTTTTAAAAAAGGAAATAAAACAAAATGCGTTGGAAATCTCTGAAATGCTGTCTTTCAGCATCCCAATGGTCATTTTATTCTCATAAGTTTCTTTACTGTCCTCACTTCTGCAAAGGCAGCTGTAGCTGATGAAAGTGAAAATCAAGCCATGAGTTCTGCCTAATTCACACATTACAGCCAGAATCATCCAGAGTAAACCCCCCAAGGTCAAATCTGGACCAAGTGCTGATAATGTACTAAGATGAATGGGGAATGAGAAAACTTGATTTTCATAAGCTCATTTCATCGTGCTCTTTCTGAGCCCAGCATGGCTCCTGAAACGGTATGTTAAAGTATGTTGCTCAAATGAAACTTAACT